CTGTAAAGTTATAATATTACTGCAATATTATAATATCTATTATTGTAATATTACTGGAATGTTGCAATATTGCTGGAATAATTTGTGCTGTATGAGGATGTTCTGGCAGGAATGATTTATCGCTGACGTCAAAAGTAGTCAAAGGGCGGTAAACCCACAAGATAATTTTAACCCTCACGTTGCACACGATGGATTATCTCTTTAATATCTCTATCGATAACCGTTTAGTACAAAAGTGCAACCGCGGTCTGTTTTTACAGCTATTACAAACAGAAAAGAAATTATGTTCCATTTATTAATCTCGATCGATCAATTTTAATGCTTGCATACCGAAATATACGATTTAGATAAGAGTAATCTGACTAATGTTCATCACGAATTAGTTTCCGCAATTATCAGTTGGATAAGTTAAACAGTCGTCATCGAAAATCGGTTGCTACGCGATTTGTCCTCAATTTCCCCGTCAACGACACGTTCTCTATAACACATAACTCGTCCTCTTTGAGATTAACCGATCGCGAGAATGTCAGACGTTGGCGATTTTACGGCCGCTTTGTCGACTCACCCGCCATTGTTCATCGCGCCACTCTGCTCTCTTCTCACCTCACTGATCACTTCTTCCGTTCTTTTCTTCTCTATGTACAACGTGCGGCACTCGACGTGACACTCGGTGCGGCATGTTTTCGCCCATCTCGTCGACGGCTACCCCGGTCTCACGTCGGTGCACCGTTAATTAATTGGCGAGCCTGGTTACCGCTTCCACATTGGGGGGGAGTCGTCCCCTTGATGATCGGTAAGAAATCACTGACACGATTATCGAAGCTCCTTCACACTTGCCTCGATCCCTCATCTCCTTATCGTGCCACCTCTGTTTCCTCGTCTTTCGCTCTCCCTCCCCCTGTCCCCCACCCCTCCATCACTTCGTCCTGTCCTGGCGAAGCTGTCCTCTCGCTGTCACAGGCGAGTCCCAGCGCGCTAATCCGGCTCCTTCGATCAGCTCTAACCCCCTCCCTCTCGCGTATCTCCACCAGAGAACACGTGTATCTTGATCTCCTGTCTGGCGATCCGTATACGCGATAGCAACACCAAACCTCATGTTACACCTGTCACAAACACGTCGTCAACAGCACCGCCCGCCGACCTTTACGCGGTTCGGCGAGTGAAATGTCCTCTATATTTTTTCTCCTCTTTGTGTCCCCACCTTCTTTCTCACAAATTGTACAATTAATCAATTAGTGTAATTAATCTCTTTATACACCTATTATGCACATATATGAAATATATTATACCATTACCTTTTACGTGAGCAAATAAATTGATTATATCGCCGGCGAGGGCCAGGCGAGAGCGCCCTACCGCCCTCTTCGGCCCTCACCTTCCCTGTCGCTTCTTGTCGGCGTATAAACAATGTGTGTGTACGTACGTACGTAGGTGTGTACGCATGTATCTCTTATGTATGGATGCATGTTTGTATGTATATATATGTATATTTATGTGTATATATGTATAGAGATAGAGTGCGTCCTTTCGTGTACCTACGGAGTAGTTTGTGTCAACGCGTGCGTGGGCGTATACCTACGTGTGTACCGTGTACCGTGTATGTGTGTACGCGCGGTCGCTCGTGTGTGTTTAATCTCCAGCGGCTCTAATTACGTCCTGTGTCTCTACTTCCCCGTCCTCATACCCCCTTTTCCATCTCCGGTTCTCTTCGCTTCTTTTTCCTCTCCGTCTCCGACGGGAAAACTATCCGAAACCGTGTCATCTTTAACTTGTGCTCGCGTTCTTATCCCCGCCCGCGTGTGGCGGCTAGGTGTACATACACCCTTCTCGCGTTTCGCGTTTCCCGCCGCGTCATTTCGGCTCCTATTAACGCTCTCTTCTCTCCTCACGCCTCCCTGCTTTTCGCCGTGAGAGACGTCGGAACGCTCTCGACGAGACTAGCTACCGATCGCGACGACGTGAGCGCATACATGCACGCGACATGCACTCGTACAACACAAACACAAGTACGCGCACACCCACACCCACACCCACACCCACACACACACACACACACACACACACACACACACACACACACACACACGTGTCGAAAGCCTTCTTGCGTCCCTCATCTCGTCTGAATGTGTTCCTTTTTCTGTCTTCCTTCCTCTCGTCTTTCGCGAGTACCTGGTCTGTATTGATCCACGGATGTACACGCGGTAAAAAGAAGAAATTATACGCAGCGCCGCGATCGATGATGCAACTGCGATCGAGGAGAGGAAGCCGAAGAAGAGATTAATGGTGAATTACGATCCTACGACTGACGTTCGTGGCTTCGGACGAGCCAGCTTCAACCCCTCGTGCTTTATATACGGCTAAAATGAATTTCTCTTTCTCTCTCTCTCTCTCTCTCTCTCTCTCTCTCTCTCTCTTTTTTTATGGCAAAGCTCACGCAGGAATAATTAATAAACGGTGTTGCAAACGTTAATGCAACTTCCGCTGCTTTCTGCGGAATCACCAATGTTGAGATTAATAATTAATTACACGCAGGAATAATTAATAAACGGTGTTACAAACGTTAATGCAACTTCCGCTGCTTTCTGCGGAATCACCAATGTTGAGATTAATAATTAATTATGTTTATTGCACTTCACTGATTAGTTTTAACGATTCAAGTTAGTATTATAGATCGCTTAATTGAGATAATAGCTGTTATCGGTAATAGCTGATACCTCTACACATTCGTTAACAGGAGTACCTTGAAAACAAATATTGTATTCACAATATCTCACTAATTTTCATTCCATACGAGTACTATCGCAATTATTTATTCACGACAATTTATTCGATCAACATATTTCGTGAGTCATCGTCATGTAATCTAATTTCCACGAAATTACTTGTTCGCAACTACGAAATTTGTTCTATGAATACGCGCGTACATATCGATGAATGATCAGTGACAATTGCAATAAAACCCGAGAAAAGAAGAATGAAAATTTTCATTTGTACCTTTCAGGCACGTGGGGTGTGAGCTGGCTCATGTCTGAAACCTTTTCTTAGCATATACCCATATCGTCATTAACCATCCTATTCATCCGCTGCTCTATCGACCACCCTTTATCCCACCTTTAGCCACTTCAACCCGTCGTCGTTTCCCTTACAAGACGATTAAATAGATTAGACTGCGACCGTGTCTAAAATTGGCAGTTGTTCGCAAAGTTGCTGCTCGATATTCACGCTTGTTCCTCGCGCGATTTCTCTTCCGGCCTCCATCAGCACCCTACCCCAACTTCTTAGTCACGATTTCTGGATAGCGCGAGTTACACGGCAAAGGAGCGCCCAGGACACGGGATCGCTCTCTCTATAGCAAGATCGCTATTAATCAATAGCATTAATAATGGGACAAGCCGGTGAGTGGACGCATCGCGCGCAAATTATTTTGCCAATCAATTATTCCTGGTAGTCATGTCGCTCTCGTCAGGCGCTTGAATGCTGTCCGGACCACTCGATACGTCAGAATAATCGATCAACTGGATAATTTGCTTCGATAATTGGCCGCTCATGTAAATTACTCGAATGTCGAATCATTCTCGCGTCGATAACGGCATATTGGTGTCGAGTGGCGATCGAAAGAAAAATGCCAATTCGACGAGGAATCCGATCGATAGATCGGCAGATTTGTCAGATTTTATCAATTTCTGATTATTTGTTGTCTGATGAAAATTTAACACAGGTGCACATTTTTCAGAATGCATATAGATAGAAAAGAATCTGATATCGAAAACCTGACAAGAAAAGATATATAGGGACATGGTAAAATTCCCTTGAAGATATCTCCGTTCGCCGCGTCAACACGAATGCGCGCGTGAAGAAGGTTCTTCTCTCGCGCTATGCCCCGCGGTGTACCGAAAAAATGGACGCGCGTATCTCCCCCTCCCCCAAACAAACACGTGTAAATATATAAATATGTCGCGTACGGGGGTTGACGTTGGTGTTGGTACATGTATGTAGGTAATATGCCAAACGTGTGCAATGTATACGTATGTATAGTGTAAATATGTGTGTACCTCAATGTGTATGACGCATCCTCCTCGCGCTGTAAACGTCTTCTTATATAAAATCGGCAGTTCGGGCAGTTCGACGTCTCGCCGCACGACTCTAGCCTTACGTATGAAACCAGATTTACAAAAATACGATGCGCATGTTTTTCGCTTATTTGGCACTTTTTCACCTCTCTCTCTCTCGCTCAACCTCTCGTTCTACCTTGCTCGCTTTGTCCTGTCACTCTCTCTCTCTCTCTTTCTCTCTCTCTCTCTCTCTCTCTCTCTCTCTCTCTCCCTCTCTCTCTCTCTCTCTCTCTTTCTCTCTCTCTCTCTCTCTCTCTCTCTCTCTCTCTCCCCCTCTCGTTCTCTTTCACGCTCTGTTTCGATTTCTTCTGCATACATACAGACACACGCGTACAGATGCACGCTCTCTCTATCTCGCTATCTCATTCTGTCACGAAAGCTCGCTTACTCTCGTGTATATCATGCAATCGCACGCCCTTATCTCCATCCCGAAGGACAGTCGGACTAAAGTTCAACCGATTCGCCCTTTTCGAGGAGGGAAAAACGGTAATTCCGTTTCCGCGGATTTACCCCCGGAAGGGCCACTCGTTCGTGACCTGCTCGTCCCATCGTATCCCCCTCACTTGCATGTCCATCCTTGAAGTCATCCGGAACCGCGTGTCTTTGGCACTTGGCGATCGAGAGAGGGTTCCTCTTCCACGTCGACGCGAAAATCGGCAGTTTCGATGATGGGCGGCCACGGGGAACAGCGACGACGACAACGGCAACGACAGCGATGACAACAACGGTGGCGGTGGCGGTGGCGGCGGTGACGGCGGCGGCGACGGCGACGACGGCGGCGATAGCGACGGCGGCGACGGCGACGACGGCGGCGATAGCGACGGCGGCGACGGCGACGGCGACAACGACGGCGATGACAATGACAACGACGGCGACGAAGACGATGTGGATGACGCCGTCGGCGGTGCCAACGATGATTCAGCCGCCGTTGTGGACGCGGCATCGGGCCGCGCGAGATCGTCGACTAGTCCTCCTCGGGGCCCATGTTCATCAGCATCATCTTCTTCTTGGCGATCTTGCTGTACTTGATGTCGATCGGCTTCGTGGAGTCATAGAAGCTCGGCGCCTGAAAGATAATAATTATTGTGCCCACCACGCAGGTCATCGTGAAGATCCAAAGAAAGATCCGGTCGAGCACCATCGCGACGTACTTCCAGTCCTCCTCCACCTGGGAACAATCAGAAGGAAACGTGCGTCGTAATTAGTTAGTCATTTTCTGATGCAACGATCGACATATCGTATATAACAAAACAATGTGTATTTCGCTGAAGTATCTAAAAATTTTATTAGATACACAAATTTGAAAATAATTTCTTTTAATCATGAAAATAATTATGAAGGACTCAAACTCCCTACTCAATACTCATATAGGGTTTTATAATCGGCCTAATGCTGGACCATTACTGATTGCTACAGTTCAGATACTGACGCAGTGTTGACTGAGTATTGAAAGTCAATACGCAGTATTGACTAAGTATGATAACTTGGGTCCAGTACTGGCTTAATCATTTTAGCCAGTCATTTGTCAGAAATTACCCAGTACTGATTGATGAACCTGGTCGTCAGTGGACAGTCGTAACGTTAGCTGGGTGTTGATTTCGTTATAATTGCTGGCGACTCTACATGTGTATAGTTACTAAAATATGAAAATTTTTGTCATCAACTTAAGGCTTCGTTGGCAACCTGAGTCTTCGAACTTCAGTATAAATTTTTATGGTGTTTTAGACTGTACGAAAATCTAACGAAAATTCTTATACGAGTTTTTATATTTACAATAGATTTAATAATGAGTTACAGGAATTGGATTGCATTTTACTTATTTTTTATAGATTTAATACAATTTAAATTGATCTATTGAAATTCGCAAATAAACATTGTCAATGAAGCGTTTATATAATTACTTTGATAATTCAACAAAATTATTTTCAGATCTGTATTCAGTCAAATTTTCAAATAGTATACAGTGAAATTATTCCTTCTGTGTACATATCTTTTATGGCATTTACTTATCTTTAACTATGCAACTATACGACATTTCCTTGATTTTAAAAGTTGATATCGAATAATGCGCTTTCCAATTACTTCGATTTCCTATGGTACATATCGAGAGAAACGCATGGAAACGTATGCACAAAACTCACGTATGGATCTCATAAAGACAAGAAGAATCTTCTGGATCGCGAGAGTCCCTGGCGCATATTTAGTATCAACAACTTGGGTGTATCCGTTACCCGACCTACAGTACTATAAAGATGCGTTTCTGTCTTGCGTGATCCGCTGAAACACACTTACGCGCAGATCCGGCAACATGCGAAGAAAAAGACGATCGATTCCGCGCGCTAAGAGGATGTATTGACTTCCTTAGACTTCCATCGCGACAAGAGGGGAGCCAGAGACGATAAAACAGTCACCCAATACTTTTATGATACTTCCATAAGGACAATGCACCGTGCTGTTATATAGAACTACCTACTTGTATCACCATTTCCTCCCCTCGTATTTCTTTCCTTTTCTGCCTGTCGCGAAACCTAACGAGGAAACATCACTCGCCTTGAGAGCACTTTCAACGCGTGATCTCGCTTCGTATAGAGTCGGCATCCATTTAACCGCTGATGCTGAATAAAATATTAGCGAACCATGAAAGAATGACTATGCTTTTTAGACGACATCGGAATATAATTAAGAGCAATAAAAAGTTAATGCTCTGACAAATCTTTAATTACATCAAAAATTGGGAATACATATTATCCAAAAAAAATCTACCAAATTTTTAATACATATTTTATATCTTTGAAAGTACTAAAAATAAACATTTACTTATAGTAAATATTTACTCATTAAAAAAATGATAGTTAAATCAATGATCAAATTAATGGTTTTGTATCGAATAAATATATGTTTACATTTAGTAAAATACATATACACTTACTTAAAACTACTTAAACAAATGTTTGTTAAAATTTAGTATTTTTGCAGTGTAATTAGTTAAAAGAGATAATATGAAACTAAATACAAATAAATGAATATTTGATAAAAAATAAAATTTTTACCTGTCTTTGTACAATAACATTCAACGTTTAATATTTTTCAAGTTTTTTCTGCGGATCGGATTATTCAGGATTCTTTAGTTAGAATATAATTGTATATACCATTCTGCGTTTTTCATTTTATTCGTATGAAAAAATCAAATCTCTTTTGCGATCATATACGATTTCACGTAGAAATATGGAGCGACATCAGTGATTCTATCAAATCGAGCCTTAGCTTAAAACTTGGACAACGGATTGGCTGCTGTATCGTCTTCTATAATATATTATATATATATGTATATGTATATATTGTATATGCAAATGCGTTTGCATACTTTACATATATACATATGCATATATAATAGTATATACTTAGGGGCGCACCTATATAACGTACATCAACGTATATTATTATATGTTAACATACGTGGCATATGATGCGTTTACCAAACACCCATACGCATTATTCTATACAGAGCGTGCTTAAAATAACGCATTACACAACTCTTTAACAACGTATAAGAGGTAAGGATATAAAAAATATTTTTTGGAATAAAAAATATGCGTTACACTAAACAAACATGATACGCATAAAATCACGTTTGCATTTTGCAGAAAGGATTATACTTTTAAAGCGGACAAGATCAAATATAATACGAATTTTTCTATAAAATGCTGAAATGGATTTTAGTGAGTTAGGTTCAATTAAATTTCTTCCACATCTAGACTTAATATTGCAAAGTGACATTTTCTAGACATTCCGCATTATGGATTTACGCTCGTAAACGATATTTGCCGCAAAATGAACGCATTTGGCAATGAGTGGTACTCTGCCGCAATGCGTTTTCCAGCGTACATTTTATTCGTATAAGTTATGCGCGCGACATCGAGAATGATTTTAAGTGAAGCTTCATTGAGCTTGGCTTACCGCGATACTAGAATATCTGAAGATCTGTCTTGGCAAACTTCGTATCCGGAAATCAAACCATATCCGGAACCACAAAGTTTCCAATTTAGGTAAACGACACGACAAATAGGGTGCTCTGAAACTTGCAGAAACTGGACATGTAATCATTTCTCGTGAAGCTGGGGATTAACTTTTATTAGAGAGAATGTCGCCATGTTGATGGTCCTCTGATTAAAAAGTACAAGGTTTCTTTCGGAATTTCAAAAATCGTTCCAAAGGAAAATAAATAATAGATGTTATTTCATCCGTTGGAAATTTGGAGTACATTTTTAATTCAAACCTGCTATAAAAAAATATTGCAGTTCAAAAAAATAAAAGTTTGTTCGATATTTCCATCAAGAAAAAAAATTGATAACAAACTTCACGAGAAAAATGTCACAAGTCCAATTTTCAATCGTTTCGAGATACTCTATGAATCACGAATAGTATATTCCGTCGAGGCTTTCACTCCAAATATTTCAAATGCATTTTGTTTTACAAAGTGGGTTACACGATGGTCAATATGAATGTAAGAGTATCTCATTTTTATTGCACGCTTGGAAGAACAATACGGTGAATGCGAACGAAAATAAAATGTAAAAAAAAGCCGAAAAGGGGAACCCTCTATTTTGTTTAATCTCAACCTTTTTCAGTATTATTTCCAACGCCGTTATTTCATGGCTGCTGCTACGGGGATTATGTCTATCGTCGAAATCCGGCGGAGTTGACGCTTCCTCGATTTTACGAAGGAGATTTCCAAATCTCTGGAGTATACGCGTTTGAGTCGGGTCGCGATACGTTCGACGCTATAAAATTCGAAATACTGCAAGAAACCGATTCGCGATTCATCTAAAATTCGAGAATCTGGGTCAAGTTATACAAATCGTACGTATCGAATAATTTGGACAGTCGCACATAGACGTTAACAAATAGCATCATTACGAAAATCATTTTGCAATTTTCTTAATGTATTTATATACAATATTTGAACAACTTGAAAACGTGCGAGCATAAATCCATGCCAATCAAAAGTTAAATTAAAATTGAAACAAATCTCGTACATTCCGCAAATATAATATACGATACACATAGTTTTATTCATAAAAATAATCGAAACGCTCAAATTTCAGATTGTTCTCGATTTGAATCTCAATTATGGACGTGACAAACATACAGCCTGCGCATTTCATAATTCTATATCCATATCAGCATCTCTCAATGTTCAGCGTCTTTCTCCATTTATCATCTCTCTTTAATTCAACATCTTTCATCAACTCGATACTTAAAAAAAGGAGAGCTGTGATTCAAGCTATCTCTTTCTAAGCCGACAGTGACATCTTCATAAGAATGCACAGTTCATTAATATTACTTCTATGATATCATCATCGAATTCATTAATCTCGAGGATTTGTTGCGTTTCACGAAGTTCTGCGCTTTAATGACGGAACTGTACGAATCATCTGGTCAATACAGTTTAATCCAATATGTATAATGTCATAATATCTTAAAATCTAGAGTGTCACTTCCGGGGCAATAACTAGATAAACGAAAATCTCTGTCCGCATTGCTCCTTGTACAATGAAAGTCAATAATCCTCTTATGTCACCCGGGCTCGCCGATAACGAAAGATTTCATTGCGTGCAGAATTACAAAGGCAGTTGCGTATGATACATTTGAGTACGTTATTGTCATTCGCATATCGCGATAGTGACCGACGTACATGTTATGATCGGAAACCGCCGTAGCCATCGTACCGGAATGCAACGCAATAAAACGTGCAGTAATCCTCTTCCACAATAGCATTAAGCTCGCTGCGATATTCAAATCACCGTTCCTGCTATTAAAGCTGCGCGCATCGCATGGGCATCTAATGTTTTGCAAACCACTATAACTTCTGATAATTTTACGAATTGAGTGCAATCAAGAGCTGTTCGTTCAAAAATTATATAAAAACACTCGATTCCGCGCTTCGTAATTTTTATCTGAAAAATTTTTTTTAACATAATTTGAAAACTTGCAGGAAATATTCTCTGACTAGAAAATTTTAGCACCTCGGCGATTGAAGGAAAAAAGCGCATATCGCTATTAAATGATATTATGAATACAATGATGTTATATTATATACAAATTATCGTCTCGCAGAAGATTTTCTCAATAACATTAGCTGTAATTAAAAACTGATGGTAGCTGTGGTATATTTAAAGCGCGTTTATATCTAAAGTAAGTTTGCTGATCATTATAAACTTCCACAAACGTTTCCCTTTGCTTCATTCAGCTTAAAAGTTACGTGAAAAAGTGGGCGTTTGGTTTTAAGGTCAGACGTCACGCCATTAAAGGGCGATAGGGCACAAAAGAAGCGTATCGTTATTCATGCCTTCTAAGACAGATTACACATCTATGAAGTTTCATATGAATTAATGGCTACCAGTTGACGAGGTGCGAGAAGCTGGTTTTTGGAGAAATAAAATTACACGAAAAGGATGCGACGCGATCAGAAATTTGGAGATGTTTCTTCAAATTGATTTAGAGATTCTCTCCTGATTTTAAACGTTTATTTTAATATATAATCGCTCGAAATAGCGACTTAATAAAATGGAAATAATATATTTTATTAAACTGTTCGACCTCTAAATTTCTCTCCGAAGTGTCACAGGACATATTTTGAAGATTTTTTGCGCTATACGCGATGCTGTCGACAGCGTTTACGTAGCATGTTGGGATTTTAAGTAAATTGGACCTAAAATGACGTTTTTTTACAGCAAAACAAAGAAACTTTTTTTCCTGAATAAAGTCTGTAACATTTAACAGAATAAGTTGGCATGGAAATCGTCCCAATTTGCTAAAAATCCTGATGCGCTACTGAAATTCCGACGACGATATTCAGCGCGAAAAGATCTTCAAGGTGTGTACAATACTGTAGCATTTGAGGAAGAAAAAGTGACTTTTTTTTTCAAACATTGTTATGTATTTTGTTACGTAAGCGAACGTTATTCCTATGCGAGTATTTCTGCTATCCTCCATTCTCGAAATGCTGATTAAACACCCGATATGTTTGCACGAGCGACGATAAAAGCAGTCGCGTACTGTTCATGAATCCGTGTCAAATGCATCAGTCTCAATTCCTCCGGTAATAATCCGGAGATCGTGGTTTCCCGAAATACGTTTGAGGCAAAGTGATCCATCGTGCGTATTGCGTGATCCCCATTGATCTTTTGATCCGATTCTCGTAATTCGCGAATATGCAATTAAGATTTGCAGCTAATCATTATTAATCATATTTGCATTATTGGCGATAATGACACTAAGAGATTATAGTGAATTATATTTGCAACTATATGCGTAAAGGATGGATTAATCCTCTCGTGAATCCCCATAAAATAGACATTTTAATATACTGAAAATTACCTTTTTGATACGCGAATTAACAACTGTATAAGTCATTCAATTTTTCTTTTATGAATTTCAGTTTATTAAAAAATGTATTATGATTCTAATATATTATAATAATAAACCGATTATAATTCTACATTCATTTATGTGTATGATATATTACGAGTATGTGTGCGTCAACATAGGTTTCATAATATAGTTATTTATTATAGTACATAGAGATGAATCAAAAGATAATTTTTAGTATGTTTAACGGTCTATTTGTCTACTATATTTGAGAAAGGAAGACTATTTTTAATATAACTGCGAATGAACGAGCGCGCAAGTATAATAGAACTTATTAAAGTATATCCATTTGACGCGCATTTCTTTCTCCAGCGTCAATTCAACGATAGCATTATCCGATATAATGGCCCGAAAGAAGTCGCGAGTAAACTGAATATTAAAGGTGTAAAAGTACGAGTATATATATAGGTATATCATATGTACTTACGCTCTCGAACTTGTCCTTGTTCTTGGCGTGCTGGGCGATAAAGCGAGCGTCATCGACGGTCTTCTCGATCGCGTGTACCGATGGCTTCTCGAAGGTGGGGCTGGCGTCCTCGTGAGCGAATCCAGGGCTAGCTGGCCCAAAGAGGTCGTCGTCCGCCCCCGGCAGTGGCAGCGAGGGTAAGGGTTCCTCAAAGCGGGGTGCGACGGTGCCGGCGGTACTAACAGTGGCGGGGTCGAACCTCATCGCTGGCGGTGGCGGTGGCACACCGTGTGGCGGTATCTCGTACTCTTCGCCGAACCTCTTGTCGTAGTACGTGTCGTACTTATCAGTCTCTGGAACATGGAACACATCGGTGAGGATGCCCTCGGGCGGCTTGCCGTTCGCCGCCTCGATATCATCTTCGTGGCTGTTCGCGTTCTCGGCATCGACATTGTCGTTGACCTTGTCGCCGTCCACAGGGCCGATGATCTCATCCTCGTCCTCATAGTCAAAGCCTTCCTTCTTCGGCCGTTTGATCATGAGGAAAGGCGGCAGAACCGTGATGACGAACCGCGCCCACCTGGCCATACGATGAGTGACGGGCGAACGGAAATTCACGTTTAGCACGGCTATCGTGGCGATCACCGAGAAGGTCACCATCACCATCGTGAACAGCAGGTACCTGCCCAGGAGTGGCACCGTTATCGACGTGGGCGGTATTATCTCGGCCAGCAATAGGAAGAACACCGTCAACGAGAGCAGTATCGAGATCGACAGGGAGACCTTCTCGCCGCTGTCGCTCGGCAAGTAGAATACCAGCACCGATAGGAAAGATATGCCCACGCACGGTACTATCAGATTCACCGTGTAGAAGAGGGTCTTGCGGCGCAGGGTGATGTTGAATATGATGTCGGGATAGGGCTCCTCGCAGCATATGTAGAACGCCTCGTTCCTCACGGCAGGCACATCTAAAATGTCCCACTCGACGGAGATATAATAATCGGTCAGGTCGATCCCGACGTCGATTCTATTCGAGTCTTCGGTCTGCAGGAGATGCTGCAGATCGACCTGTGAACACAACAGAGACGATCGAACGTGAATGGAATCGGTGTACGTACAAATAAAGGCATATCATTTGTAAACTCCTTTCTCTGTGACAGAATCGCAACGAATTATTATTAGCATTGGCCAATAATAATTATGGGCTTGCAAATAATTATTGCTGAACACATGCAGAATGTTTGATTATGTGTGATTACAGTATATTGAACATATGTTTTGCTGTTTACGTTTTCAAAATATTTTCAGCGTAATATTTCAATATCGAGATTTTCTAACTTGCAAACGTCGTTTAATATTGGTGTGTGTGTGTGTGTGTGTGTGTATGTGTATGTGCATATACTTTGCACGCAAATAATGTACTACGTATGAATATTTTATCTTAAAACACACATTGCCGCAAAACTCACGCGTACATTATTGAAATAAATTTATGTTTTACATTAGTAAATATGTAGTACAATCTGGATATTTAGTGCTGCACAAAAATATATATGAGTACTATGGAATTTGCATACTGTACACGCGCGAGCTAAAAAATAATTTTTATTATCACAATTGTAAATTGTATCACTAAAAGTTGAAATTATAAAACAAAGCATACTATTTATTATATATACAACAATAAAGAATTGAATTTTGAAATGTTTTGTAGCTTGATTATCATTTTCATGAATATTATAATACTTGCTTCCGTCTGTTAAAATTTTCCAAATGTCATAATATACGCAAATATTATAAAAAATTATAAATTTAAAAGATTACTTTAGTAACTAAAATGATTATAATTACATAAGAGAGGTCAACAACAGTACTATTAATTTTATCTCATAGTTTTGTATGACATATAACGTATATTTAAAATAAAAACTTTGATGATCCGCATGAAAAGAAGCAACAGTAATAAAGAATAATAAATTTTTTTACCAATTTCCTGCATAAAACAATTTGAATTAAAGGTAAACGCATCAAACTAAATAACTTGTCTTCTATTCATCCCGTTTTTTCCTCTCATTTTCATAGATAGCATTTCATATATCATCATCAAAAAGATTTATTATTGTAAGCAATGCATTTATATTTATGCACACCTATATCCAAAGCATATCGTAATCCGATGTGCATCTTCCTTGCATATAATAGCATTGTAATCCATTTCAAGATTTGTAATCCAACTAATCTTTCAAACGAATCCCCTAAATTCCCGGCTTTCAAACTACGCGTCATTGAAACGATCTTAGAGGCCTAATCCAAAACTGCAATAGCTAAATCCAAGTTGTTATTCCACTCCATCGCATCTGGTATCTTAATCCTCAACTCGACAGTTCGATGCGGTACATAATCGAAACACACCGGCGAGAGATAATCAGGAAACACAAGTTAGAATAGCTAAAGATTGTTATCTTAGTGCTCTGTTTAATCGGTGCTTCAGATAATCGGAGTTACAGAAGGAGTCGGATGGACAAAGCGACGGCGCACTGTGTGTGACACGATTCTATTTATGTGAACACGTTGATGTACACATTAGCCCGTTAATTATCAATTATCTTAATTAGTTTAACAACTTTCAGAAATTGAAATTGATGAAATTTGTCGAATGAAACGGCGAGTAATATTGAATTATTAAATAAATATATTAATATTAATATATTAATATTTTTTTTGACAAGACAAGAATATTTTCTGAGATATAATAAGATAACTATCCCTATTACTGTGTCTGTTCTTATTAGTGTGCTTCTGTATTTCAATAAGCCATAAAAAAAATTAGCACGAATAAATAAGAAAAAGTACTTCTTTGTTATAAAAATTAAATTATTAATGTACACGATATTAAAGATAATATTTTATTCTTTAACTATTAAAGTACTTTAAACATTTGTCGAAAGATATGAGGAATTTATGTGAATTCAGTAATACGCGTCGCAAGATCTTAAACTTGTCCTTATTATAATATATTAGTATTGGTCTGTTTAGAACTGAGAATTTTGTATATTATGAGTGTATATTCAAATAAGTATACAATTGAAATAATGATTTATGTAATATTAATTTAAACAATTAACTTATATTTATTATCTGTTTTAGTAACTATATGTTAAATGCGGATAGGAATACAAATTAGGGATTCATTAATAGGGCTATCGTCGCTTGAAAGACCTACTAATAGAGACATGTTTTTTTTATTTTTATCAAAAATATTATAAAGTATTAATATTTTTTAGATTAAAGAAATATTATGTAGGAAAAAGAAATAATTGAAAAACCGATATTGATTTCGAGTAGAAAAAATTAAGATAACAATATTTCATAATTAATTCAGTATTACAAGCAAATTGACTTAAAGATACATTAAAAAGGGGCAGTTACCATATCGTTAATAATTTGCGTTTGCACTGTTTTAAAACATTTTATATGCAAGAGATACCTAAGAAAGAAAAAAATATATAAATGCGAGACTAAGATTTAGCATCGTTCGAGTCTAAAGAAGACATTAGCTCGAAAGTCATTGTGGTTTAAATTGCTGTGTCTTGGGATTTATGGACTCTACGACTTTTATACGAAGACATTTCTGATACAGCCCTTCGCGATAAATAATATCTCACAGTTGACTTTCAAGAGTGTTCTGCGGATATATATTCACTTACTACATTCTAAAGAATATTCTGGAGTCGCCATTTTCCCTCATGTACAAATACTTGAAATAGCTGAAAAGGATTTATTTCAGCTGCTTATTTTACTATCAAGATATTAATGATTTTTATAAAAGTATTATGAATTAGAATCAAGATCATGTCGAAATATTATTATTAATAAATTCTGAATTGAATTTCGATCATGGAAATATTTATTTGTTTCTTAGAATCTTAATTTAATGAATTTTAATGCGCGTTATAATTGCTTATATATTTAATAAAAATTTGCAATCTAATATTACAAAATATTCAAACAAGTTGTTGTAAGAAGCTGCATTCGATTTCAATTTCAGAAAATCTATAATTGGCCGACACACCCTTGTGTAACTATATTCTATGTTCGGAGGACTTCTTGACCTAGCCACTATCAGTGTCGTCGCCTAAATCCATTTTATCTCTCGGTACAATCGATTTTCGAGATTGTTTAAAAAACAAAGAGAGAGCAGAAACGTGGAAAAGAAGAGAGCGAAAGGAAAACGAATGGAAGAAATTGGATATCTCTAATGGCTGCACGAGATACGGGTCTTGGTTATTTCAAAGTCTACGAAATTCGAATAAGGTTTAGAGAGCCAAATCGCGACCACCATTGGAGTTTCGTTGGATAATCCTCCTCTTTCGAAATCTATCGATAGTTCGATGAGCAATCACCATTCGTTCACTGCGTCTTTCACGTGCATTTTCTCGAGGCGCTACGCTGCTTTAATCGGATTCGTTTCCTGATTTTTCAATTCCAATCCTTCGTAGGGAATCAAGATTTACCCTTTTTAATTTTAGTTACAGAAGAAATCAATGTAATCGACCTATTCTAACTTTTTTTCAACCTTCAAAATTCAGCAGAGTGGAATAAAATTACAAGCCAATTGCACAACTATTATCGCCATCATGTTTAAAAAATTTATATAATAATTCTCAAATAAAATTAACAAATATCTTCTTTAAAAAGCAGTGCAATATTTTGTGTTGTAATATTATCTTTATGTCTATAAAGAAATTAGAAATGAATTTTCATGTCATATTTAACGTAATGGACGTAATATTGATTTATACCGCTCGGTAATGAAAATATATTAGCGATGAATTGTTACGCTAATTTAGTGACATTGCGAGTAATATGTAACGATTTAAACCAATTAACACTTACAATTGACAGGAATATCGATCAAACAATATCGACTACCTATCCAAGTTAAATCATGACCTAAGAATTTTACAGTCGTTCCACTTTTGACCATCTCGATATTTTTTTCACGGTGAAAAATACTCCCGATACGCACGCAAGACATGCCGATAAGGGGAAATTGAAACCAAAGCGCGGAAACGGAAGCTATCCGCAGGTGGATGAGGGGTTGATCATTGGCACTAGTGTGTTTTCGAAGTGGCTAGCGGACGAGCTTCTCTGTCGAAATGGCTTACTCTCGTACGGACGTGGGATTTATATCCACGTACTCTGCTGCTGTACAGCGGTAAAACTCTCGCAGACAGGCGGATTTGTCAGTGACGGATATATCCGTCAGTCAGCGAGTGGAGTCTCGCTTGTCGGATCGAGCACGAAGGAAAACGCAACGGATGAGACAAACAGGCGCCATGGTATGTAATCGCCGAATTGTAACATTCATCGACGCTGTTCCCTCTCTTTCTCTTTCTTTTTATCTCTTACATACATGTATACACACTTTATAATTTCCATTAAAATTAGAACTCGTGAGAAAAGAATATCGTCGGGACATCACAAAATGCAGCTCTCAAATAGATGATCCATTAAGTAATTTTTAGACACTTTGTGAAATAATAAGGAATAAATTTACTTGCGTACTGTACTGCAGTAATATAGATAAGTAGGAAAATTCAATTGTAAACTGGAGAAAAAGAAAAAAATGAGAGCAAATATATAATTGACTAAAATTTATTCTATAGTTCTTTATTTAATAAATAAAAAGATATTAATTTATAGAATAAATTAATAGAATTTTTTGTGATTAACTAAAGAGATAATTTGGAAAAATTGCACAATAATATGTAATTACAAATAATATGTAATTATAACGGTTTGAGACGAAACGTTGCAATTTTTAAATATTCAATTTACCGTACTAATGCGCAATTTTTCTGCTTCTAATTAGCTGTCGAGTAAAGTTATCCAGGAGATTACAGCTTTTCTGTTTCTCTTTAGAGCGTAGTAAAACTACAACATAGACGAGAGGTTGGCTAATTTACGGGCAAAGTTAGCTGAAAAACCGGTCTTAAATATTTCTTATAGATACTGTTTAAACATTTGCATCTAAATTTATTGAAACTTTTATCATTTTAATTGAAAATGTATTCTTCAAAATTATGGAAAAATGTTCAGTTATATTTAAATAAATAATAACTTTATATAAGTATAACAGTTTGTAAAGTATTTCATTAATGTATATATATAATATTTGTAGCCAAGATATAAATATTATTTATCTATTTTTAGTATTTTTTCTAAAATATATTTTTTTTAAACCATAGTAACTCGTTGTAACACAATTCCATAAATTTCATAATCTTATATCATTTATAGAAATTTTCAACATAAAAGGAAATAAACTATATGTATACATCAAGTATATATAAATAATATAAATAAAATAATAATTTAGAAACACTTGAAATCATTAATCTCGACTTATTTATATGCAATTTTCATATAATTATACAATACGTATATACATATAATAACAAATAACGTTAATAGTAGGATTTGTATTTTTCATTTGTAAATTTAAAAACACTTTATGTAAATTTAAAAAAGCTTTTATGTAAAATTTATGATTTTATAATAAAAATAAAAATCTGACTTTTTCGTAACGTGTACAAATATGAGTGCAATTTAATGCAAACGATAAACGTGTACACATAACATTACTTAAATTATTCCTGTTTTATACATCAAAAAGCTATTTCATAACAAATTTTTATAATTGAAAAATATCGTGAAAAAAAATGTTTTTCTATTTTTAAGAAAAATATGTATATGATACTCGCGATAAAATGTTGCGCATAAAATATTCTGCGCAAACTATTCTATCTTGTGTTTATACATTAGAGAATGTAAATTCCAATGTTTCATCACTCGTGATAATCTTTGCAATTATTTCTGCAGAATTATATAAAAAAATATACGTTATTTAGAGTCACTATCTTACAGTTTTTTATATTCTTTTTGCATTATTATACATTACAAGATAAAAACTGAGAAACCACATTATTTTAGTGCGAATATTCGACAGGCATAAACTTACAATCTCCAATAAAATAAAAATTCATAGCCGCAGCAATTAATTAATTATAACGAATCACAATACTTACCGTATAACCGTCGTAAGTCCATGAACCAAATTTCATAAAACAAGTTTGCACGTCGAAGGGGAAGTATTCCACGTTGATTTCGCAAAATGATTTATAGATCGCCGGTGGTTTCCAGATGACCTTTCCAGTGTGGTTTAAAATCGCTTTAGTCATGATGGTCACCTCGTAATTACCATCGGCACTGAAAAAAAAATTCATTATTTCTTTAAATATTCTGTCTATTAAACAACAGTATAAAAGATAAAGTATTGCCGAAGCTTTGAATTACACGTGCTCTTCCATTGATCTCTCTGGATATATATATATATATATTTTCTGATTTATAACACTATGCATATCGCACATATTCGTATGGCGCGATATGCACAATTCATAAATTTTGCACGATTACAAACGAGGTGTCACATTTTAACTCCGCGCGATTATCTACGAATGCCTGTTCGACGAAACATTTCATATTAACATTCTATAACGAGAGCGGACTTCTAAGCAGCGACGTAACTCCGTTCTAGTCAAAATCGTTCTCTGTATCATCCGTATTTTGCGAGACTTGCGCTTCGTGACGGAGAAGAAATGCTGCCAACGTGCAGCGAATCTACAACGTCACAGTAGAAAGTTAAAAGCTTCCTGCCATACGTAAAGCCAATAGAAACGGTACCAATCGATATTCCGAATAAAGCGAGGCGACGCTTCAAATGTTATTGTGTGAAAATTTGACAAAGCGATGTACGCTTCGGTGCGTACATTGAACGCGAAACAACTGTACCATCTATTGCCGCAGCCATCTTTCTCCTATAAATTCTTCTAGAAATTAACATGCTCTTTTTTCCGTTCTCTCTCTTTTCCTCTCTTCCACTTTTTCTTTAAATTCCTATAAATGTTTAGAAAATTGCTCAGAGCATATCACATATTTTTTTTATCAATTATGTAACATTTAAGCGTAATACAATATTTTTAAATGTTTGAATAACCATTAATGCATAATGTATTATGCACATTTTTTAACAGTTTAATAATCGTTTTAGTTTTTTTAAAGGAAAGAAATAACACTAAATAAATAATTGTAAAGTAATAAATTCCTTCTTCATTTATTATTCTTCATTTAATTTGATATATTATACAACAAATATTCTTTATTTAATTTGTGAAGAGACAATTTTTTAAAAAGATAATCAATTTTTTATAAAGATAAGGACAAGCTTTCTTACTTCTTATTCTTTATTCGATGATTCCACGTGTTATTTTTATTCGACACTAAATTCTGTAGAAAGTGCAATAGTTTTCACATTAAAGCAATCTAAACCTGAGTCAGATTACCCGGATATTCCACGTTACAAAATTTCAAGGAATTAACACGTTCCGGCAGTGAACTTGCGGCGAGCGAGATAAGAAAATCCGTCGAATAAACGATACAGGTAAGCACCAGAGCACCGATGTTATTGCACGAGACTGAAGAAACAGAGTGCTCGTGAGAAATAAACTCGCAGAGGTAATGCGCGCTCGTAGAAATTTCTAAAACGGTATTCGCGGTGCTATGGCCGTACCGTCGCGTCGCATCGCAGCTGTCGCTACTGCGACCACACTTGTTGCACTATTTTCGGTCGGGGCCGGCCATGGCATTCTTATTAGTTCGCCACACCGGCTATTGCTCAATTCTGTTCTGCCATGTGTGTCGATCCGTTTTGCGCCGGTTTCGCGCCAATTCGTGAATTTTTCATCCGGCGACGTCTCGTTCCGCGCACGTGACGACGGTTATCTCCGCGACTGACCTCCACTGAATCGGGACGGGGAGGACTCTTTGACATATAGATTGTCGATCGGTGAAATAATTCATAACTTTAGGTATTATAGCAACGCGATTCATATATATATATATATATATATACACGATTATACAAGGTGTCCTAGATTTATCGAGATCAACGTTAATGACAAATTCTTGAGACCATTTCGAGACAAAAATGTAATGCTATGAGTAAAATGTCGAAGCTACAGCAGTTTTTAAATAAAAGTGAACAATTTAAAATTAATCGATCAAATTGGCCGAAATTTGCGCAATTAGATAACGCCTGATTTAGAGGAATAAAAGAAAATGGAATTAATGCTTCAAAAATCTTCATTACTGTGCAATGTGCCATGTCTGAGCGCATAAATTTTAGACAGTTCGATTGGTTAACTTTAAACTCTTATTTAAAACTAATGTATATTTTAAAATACGGAGTGGAATCTCACTCTAGGAAGTAAAAATTGAACCAATCTTGAAAAAAGTGGCAATTTTCAATCTTTGAAAGTGAAATTTTACTCTTCAGAAATGAGATTCACTCTAAAAATTTTGGAGAGTCACCGTGTTGGTAATGGAATTTTTATTTCGAAATAATTTCAAAAAAAGAATCTGCCATTAAAAATTGTCACCGCAAGTTTAAGATATCATGTATATGTATAAATATCGGAAATAAAAAGTAACAATATTATTTTTATCTATGAAACTAAGAAAATATTAGCAACTAAGACTCTGATGATAAAATATTATTTTGTTATTACAGCTGCAAAGAATCGAAACTGAAATTTTTACGATTCTTCGAAACAATTTGAAGAGCTACGAATATTTCTTAATAAATACAAATTCAGCGTATTAAAAGAATTAAAATTACTAATTTAGGAAACTAGTAAATATTAGAGAAAACAACAATTGAAGACAATTTCAACGTATGTGCATAATATAAGACTTTTACGTTAACTGTTTGTGAAACGCGAGTATTTGTTTGCAACAAAAGTTGCATATTGGATAAAGTTCGCGCGTCTGCAAATCCTATTATACAAGCTTCTGAACGTTAATGTAGGTCTCCTGCACTTTGTGGTCATCCGATAATTATATTTCTGTTATCAAACTCTGTATAGAGAGGCGAGCGAAGCTAAAAATAAGGGCGACTCACCGTAACTGTTACAGCTTAGCCTACAATACACGTTGCAGAATACAAGTTGCAGCGAAAATCGCGAAATATAAAACCGAGTTTCTAACTCAAAAACAATCATATCAGATGCACTAGAGAATTTTTCGATAAATTTTATTGTATATATCTATACATTTATCTACATCTGTATGTGCAATCTGATAATCAAATTCAATAAAACGTTTCTGATGAAAAATAACGGCGATCTAATTTTTAAATCATTTATCATATTTCTGTCATTAAGACAATAATACTTGGGTTTTTGTCGCAGTTTTAAGATGTATAATATAATTTTTACAAAAAGTGACTCAAATTAAAAATTTAAATACTTTTTTGTATAAAGTAAATTTTATACATACAAAATAGTGCAAATAAGATCAATATTTATATTTACCCCAATACAATTTTATAATTTAGATAAAAGTGTTCTTATTTCATCTTATTTTTTGAAAACATGTCTTATACTTCTTATTAAAATAACTTTTGATTCGAGATTTAAATTGTCACAAACAGTTTATGTTACTTTCGAATACAATATCGGAAAATTTGTAATTTTTCATTTTGTTAAAAAATACATGTAATACATCCTTAAAACGTGTCAGATAATAAACGAAAACAGTACTTCGCAGCCTGTTATTTCTGGAAATTAATCGTATCACGCATCTATCGACCGTGCTCTAATTACGGTCGATCGAACGATTATCTTCGTGAATAGTGAAAGCAAGTGTTATAATTCGGTAAGTGGGCCAGGAGACGCCGAAGGTTAATTTGCGCGTAGAGCATAGCTTATAAATTAGCCGTGCTAAACATCGGTCGAAAGTGTTCTCAAGGCAGGCATTATTAGAACGGAATAGCGATAAGAGCGACTCACGTGGTTTATAATGCAAGACGACGGCTCAAAAGTGACATTTTAATCGCGGCACGTAGTCGGACGATGCTTAAGCTTTGTTCTCAGGGCGAATGAGATTTCCCGGCGAGAGGAACGTTCGTGTTATTATGGGAGCATTACATAATCTCGGATACTACTGTATTATTCTGCTGCCAGTCGGCGAAAGATGTTCACTTAACGATGGAACGAGTCAAAATTGTCGTTGTGCTCACGATTATCTTGTAAATAAACGTTAAGAAACTGTCGTGTGGAAACTCCATACGGTAATAAGATAAATAAGCTACAATACGACATTTTAAATAACGTTCCTTCCGTTGAAACTTTTATAAAGAGTTACATGAAAGCAAAATTAAGACATACACATATATTAATACATTTTTAGATTCTGAGAATTTTTGATTATAATTTATATACAAATACAATTGAAATAATACCTAAAAAGACATTTTTAAAAAAGTAAGAAATTTCTTGCGAAAAATTTCTGTGTTAGTAAAATAAGTAAGACAACACGATACTTTAAATAATGTTTCTCTCTGTTCAATCTTTGGAAGGGTTATATGAAGATAAAATTAAGAGATACATTTTGGCGTTCTGAGATTTTATAATTGTGATTCATGTAAAACCGAGATAATACCTAAAAAAAAAGAAGCAGAAGAAAAGGGGAAATTACGATGTTCCACAGGCCGAGCCATAATTTTTGCGCTTCGCCGGTTAAAGACAAAGTGGACGCTGCAAGCGTAAGAAACGACGGGCGCGTACTGCAAGTTACGTCAAGAAAGTTCGAAGACTCAATTAATCACGTTTTTTTTTGTGCTCCAGACGTGCTTTATGGCGCGTTTCTTGTGCGGGCACGTCATGTAAATCTCAGAACTCCGTGCAAGTAGTAGAACCACCGCCGACTCCGACTCGACGGCTTCGAGGGCCGCGGCATCGTCTTGTGGTAATCTTAATGATAACGTCGTCCCGTTTTCTCCCTTCGTTCCCCGATTCGATCGTCTGTTCCGGGGAGGCCGGACGAGTTCTTCAAAAAAACTTCTCTCTCCTATGACATAATGAAAGATGACGTCGTTCTATCGCCGGTCAGTGCAAAATTTGTTACGGTATTTCTATTTTCTAACTTTATTGGACGCTCTAACTAATTAACTAAATCAGTCAGTTGACACTTGAAATATTATATATATTGTACAGATCTTTTCATGCTTTTGTGTACTGATTGAATATAAGAAATCAATAACGTGTCTTTGTGTCTTTGTAAGAATAGCGTAACAAACGTTGTGTGTGTGTATGTTGCAGAGTCTATAATTTTCCAGAAGACCTCATAATCTTGGAAATTGCGTTTCCTTGGAATACACAATACGTACGTATAGACAAATTTGACATTTGCTCAATCTGCTACTACAAAGACTTGAATCGCACTCAACGACTGTGAACGATGGCGCAAACGCTGACCTATTTCGAATACGCTTATTTATAACCACATTATGGAACGCCGTGGAAAGTGCTGCCCTTTGCCAGGGATCGGTCTCTCGTGCCGGAAAAAATATGACGTGTCATTTGTGCGGTTCAATGTACTCTACCGTCACGTAGAAACTGTTTTTCCGAGGCTGAAATCGGAAATTCTTGTGTCGAACCATGACGACAATGTCGGTCGACATTGCGGAGATCGCTAGCTATTACGAGCGAGGTCTACGATAATCTTTTTCGCGTCTTACTCGGAGAACGAGCCAGGGTCCCGTCCGGACCATCGGTATCCTCTTACCCAGCAGTTTGTCCGACCTCAACGAGGCAGTAAGACTCGATAAGACTCGATATATACTCTCGAGTTGAATGGCGGAATCGTTGCAACCGCATTTCGCGCTGTGAGGCACTCTTTATAGAGGATATTACTTACACTTCCCTCCCCAGCGATCGTTCCGGAGGGGAAAGTTCCCTATTGTCGTAGATCTCGATGCTTACGATGTAGCGTCCACGACCGGAACGGACTGATCCCGCAATTGATAACGCGTTACGGCGCACAGGAGAGTGCTCTTGGGAAAGAGCATTGGGCGAGCTGGACGCGAGCAGGGGCTTGGCGGTTGACATTTGCGAAATGCGAGTTGAATGGCTCAGTGAGAAATGGGAGAGAAAAAGAGAAAGAATGAGAAAGAGAAAGAGAGAGCTCAAGTTATCCCATAAATATAACAGAAGTGAGTTTGGGTAGAGACGCCCTGTGGGTAGAGCGCTTAGCGCTACGGAGACTTTTTCTTTACCTACACTCTGTTCTTCCTCTATCGAGTTCATCCCGCCTTTTATATCAAACTCATGTCATATTCAAGAAAACAATCGCGTATATATCGATGCAATTGCGACGCAACACGTATGTGCGATTACTTGGAGCTAACGAGACTTTGTTACCAGGCCATTCTCATCTCTTTCTCTCTTTCTCTTCCTCTCTCTCTCCCTCTCTTATTCTCTTTCTCGTAAAGGCAACTGGAATGGATTACCGCGGTGCGGTCTGGGATGAGCTGCAGATGCAGTAATCCGGTGATAATGGAGTAACGAGATTCGCCCTCACGTACGTTTCCTGCATATTTTAACTCTGCATTTTGCAGCATGGTTGTAGGTACGTTGTGCCCTCGGGTCGTTGTGCCTAAGCAACCCTTTGGCCGCCATCCTACTGGCCCTTTGCGTACATATAAACGCATGTTCACTCCGCTGATTGCATGGAGACTTGAGTAATTTTGTTGGACTCGCGGCAACAGCGACGGCGATTCGTTCTCGTCAACGGTAATGATTCTACGAGGTGTTCATTACAATAGAATAATTATTCGAACCTTTACGATTGTCTAATGTTGCTTCAAACTTTCAAATGTTGAATAGATTACATTAAGGAAAGAAGAGAGAGAAAGAGAGAGAGACGGTAAATATATAGAAAAAGAGCTAGTAATTAATAAGTAAAAGAAATATAATTTTTAGCGAGCTGAATAAAAAAAATATTTTAACTTAATTTCAAAATTTGTAGTTAATAAAATAGTATATTGAGCCACTAATAGCGAATTCAGTTAAAAAGCACCGGTGCGCATTAAAGCCATTGTACACTGATTTAATTTAAGTGCAAAAGTGTAAATATATTGTCGAATTATAAAATATATGTTTTACCAAATAGTACAGTAAAGTGTACTGAGGCTTTTGCAGTTTAATCCGCATATTTATATTAAACACACATACATCTTTACATCACTCTTTTACAATTGCATCAATGTGCACTGAATGCGATCAACCATGAATTTGTTATAATTTTTAAATGTGTCATCGAAGTGACATTGTTCACTAATTTTATTAAATTATGGTTGCACACTTCTTTTATGATTTATCTAAATTATTATAATATTCGAGATTAAAAATACTATTATAACAGATTGTAGTACCATCGCGCGACCAAATGATTTCTTAATTTATGTAGTAATACAATATATGTATATATGGTATACATACGACAATTGCGTCATTTATATTGTAATACACGTTCATATTATTAATTATTATACAAAATTTTGTAAGGTAAGTTGTTTACAAATTATTTTGTATTTTAATTTAACAAATTAATTTCCCTAAATAAGCTTGTTAAGCCAACAATATATGTCAGTTAGTTTAACATAACAATTTTGTTTAACATATCAATTTTGAGAATTCAACGAAATATGCTCAACGAAGCTAGTTCCACTAAATTAACAAAATGTCTTTCCCGAGCGTGACAATTACGTTTGTCAGTAATGATTCGCGTGCAGTGGAATTTCGCGCAAATTTGTTTAATCTATTTGATATATCCTCTATTGTGCCAGACCGCAGCAGTAGTTTACTCCTAAATGCGCTTCGCCCAACAAGAAATAAAGGAAGATATATCGTATCGGTGTAGAGTGCAGAGGAGCTAGCGGCGCCCCGGCACTTCAGGTTAAGTTTTGCATAATGTATCAGTGCTATACGTATTTCCTAGAAGGAACGAAAGAGGGGATCTCGTTGAGGCAAGGATCGTCGGGGCGCACAACTCATGGGGATGCAGGAAGGCCTCAAAGCTCTGATGGAAATGAGAATAGCGGATTGAACGTCGCACGCTTGAGTGGAGCTTAATAGGGCGGGTTAAGTTCGGTTTATTTGATACACCACCTCGACGCCTTAGACGAGATTGCCTGCCTCCGCCCTACGAAACCCGATTGTCCGTAGAGCAGACGCCAGAAGCCGCTGCTTACCCTCTTTCCTCCCCCCCCCCCCCCCC